AACACACAAAATAACACTGCTTTGCACCTTTCAGACATGTCTGCTGCAGTCCAGCATGTGCTGTAACTATTACTGGTTTTGCTAAAAAATTACAGTAACTGCAGTGGTATTATTAGTCTTAGGGTTTCAACACTCCTCAGGCATCTTTATATGATGCAGTCTTTCCTAAGAAAAGGCACATAAGACCAATATCTTAGCCTTCATGTTGCCATAGGAACAATCCAAAACTAAAGCATGTCCCTATAAAAGGAAAGACTGCTTCCTGCAAGACAGGCGTAGAAAAGTCAGACTCCTGTCAAATCGATGGCACTTTCATTTTCATTATCTAGAATGATTCAAAGTAAGATGAGTTTACACTAGTGACTTGTGATGGGATGTTGGAGTGCAGCCTTCTGCTAAATATGGAGAAGACCACAGCTTAATTTCCATGTCTTTCTAGGCACAGGCTTTCTTCTTCTAATTTTCCAATAACCCTATTTAGATTTTTTGTGCTGATAAACTTACCAGTCTAAAATTTTTTATTGAGTTCCCACTTTTCAGTTTCTACTTTTGTCTTAATAGAAAAATAATTAAACCAATACAGCAGCTTTAAATAATTTTCTGTTGATCTTTTCATTGTGCTGAGGTGACGATGAATGTAAGCACGAGTATGTATGCACGTGATCACGGAAGTAAGACCACAAACTGATGAAAGCTCTTCTTCCTCACAAGTCATTAAAGCATTTCCCTTAAGATAAAGTGTTATGTTAGAGACTTTTTTGGTCAGACCTTTTTTTTAGCAGAGATGTCTTTTTGTCATGAATGTATCGATGCATGTTGAATTCTGCCTGGATATTTGCCATAGTGAAGTCTACAGAGAATCTGGTCCTAACATGGTTATGGGGCTGTTTTCCAACAAACCCATGTTTGTTCTGCTAAAATTTACCACACACACACATCACAGCTCTCATAGTACCCCAGTTCAGCTGAGCTATTTTCTTCCTCCTCAACATTTTCCTGAGGACCCCTCTGATTTCCTTGTTCCTCAGGCTATAAATGAGGGGATACAGTAACGGAGTAATGTTGGTGTAGACCAGAGACACCATCTTGTCTCGAGCTGGTGAGTAACTGGACTTAGGACGAATGTACATGAAGGTGGCACATCCATAGTGTAGCAAGGTGATAGCCAAGTGTGACATGCAGGTGGAAAAGGCCTTGCCCCTTCCCATGGAGGAGGTGACACGTAACAAAGCAGCAGCAATGCAAATGTATGAGGTCAGGATTAGGAGCAAGGGGAACATCAGGAGGAGCACACAGGCAGCCAGCAAGGGCAGCTCAGGGCTGTAACTCTGTGTACAGGCCAGGTGCAGCACAGCAGGGATGTCACAGAAGAAGTGGTTGATACGATGTGACTGACAGAAAGGTAAGCGGAAAACAGCCACTGTCAACCCCAGGGCAACAGCAAAGCCTCCCAAACAGCATGCCACAGCCAGCCTGAGGCAGAACCTCTCACTCATGACAGCTACATAGTGAAGTGGCTGGCAGATGGCAACGTAACGGTCATACGACATGGCTACCAGGAGGAAGCATTCAGCCCCGCCGAGTGCCACAAAAAGGTGCATCTGTGCAGCACAACCTATGAAAGAAATGGTGCTGCCGTCCACCACTATCAGGCTGAGGAGTGCCTTAGGGACAATGACTAAGGTATAGCAGAGCTCAATGACAGAGAGCTGACAGAGGAAGAAAAGCATGGGAGGACAGGAAGGCTCCATAACCACTGCCGTGAAGATCATCACATTCCCTGCCAATGTGACCAAATGGACAATGAGAAAGATAAGAAAGAGGAGGACCCGCAGACAGAGCTGCTCGGAGAAGCCGAGCAGGAGGAACTCCATGGTTGCATCAGTGCTCTTATTGTCCCACTCCATGCAGCCTTCACATGGCATCTACAGGAAAAGAAACAGAAGAGGGACCGTTGAATTTGACCTGATGGCTGGCAATCAGTTCCATATAGGAAATAATGTTGCAGTACTGTAGAACCAATGTAGTGAAGCTCATTGCGTGGGGAGGAAGGTGATTTCATTTAAAAACAAAACTTATTTCACTCAGTCACAGTCAACACACTTTCAGACCCGTATTCTCCCAGCCACCAAGGTTCTTGTGCCCAGATGATATGCCTAGGATTCTTTGCCATGACATTGATGACAAAGAATGTGAGCTGTTGAGTCTTCATCACTTCTTCTGAGTTGCTCTTAGGTTGGTGACCATGTGCAGGTTTTGAACATGCATTAGGAACCCTTTAGGGATTGATACTGATTAGCCTCTCCATCCTGTCCTGCTTTTGAGAGTCATCATTGGACTCTCCCTCCTGCTCTGAGTGTCCTAAGAAGCTGCAGATGGATGTGTTGGGATCTTGATGACCACCAACACCTAAGTCTTGCAGACATCGTGCTACTGCTTCTTCTGGTGCTTCCACTCCCAGGCAGACCCATTCACTTTCTATCCACAACACTACTGCAGTTCTCTACATCTGTGCCAGAGATGTACAAGGACAACCAGAGAGTGAGCTGGAGCTTCTGCTCTACAATCTGACTCCAACTAAATGGGAATTTGAGGTGTTTGCTGACTGGCTTCTCCCTTCACCACAATGGATCTGCCTCAAAGTTCATATGGAAACAGGGTTTCAAATGGAAGGGGTCAGTGGTTAGACATGAGGATTCCAAAATTAGAGCTGACATTTTGGCTGCTTGCATCTTTATGCCTGGCTCAGCCCTATGTTAAAGTAAACTTCCAAACTCAAACCTAAAAATGCCCATGGCAACATACTCTGTATAACGATTTTTTAAAGAAAATACAAAGCTAATATCTTGGACTTAGAGACAATGAGATCTTGCTTGTCACAGGAAAAATGGAAATTTCCTGGGAGTGATGCAAAACTGTTTAAGTTGTAAAGATCTAGAAAAGATAAGGACATAGAGAGCAGTATAATAATAAATTACATACACTGGTCACAGGCGAACAGGGCTCATTGCTCATGTGTTCACCATGTAATGCAATATTTATACAAGGAATAATTCCAACTCTTATCTACACTTTTCTGTAAACCAGGAATAAAAGCAGAGATTCCTTGAAGATTTCTGCTCACATCAAAAACCCAGCAATATTTAAGTATGAAAGAAGCTGGAAAATTACACGAAATATTCCAATACCATCAAGAGCAAATAGAAGGAATGGGAAGTTGATGGAAAAAAAATATTGGTGGAGACAGGGATTTTCCTGAAAAGAAGACATCTCAAAAAAGCTTCAGAAAGAATTAATCAGTAAAGTTGAGGAGGTGAATCTGATAAGCCTACATGCCTTTGCCTTTATTTTTGCCACTGCAATCACTGGAACTTGCTGCCCCAAAGTTTCCTCGTGATCCAGTATCTCAGCAGAATTCAAAACATCTGGGGATTCAGGTGACTAATGGAAACACCCACAATTATGTTACCTGAGATGCAAAACTAGGAATTAAATCGCTGTGCTTCAGAGCATAGGTCAGCAAAATGACCAAGTTAGGAAGAAACTTTACCATAGCTCCAGGACAAAAAAAGTGGACAGTCAGTGAAGACCAAGAAGAAGCTCTTTAGAAAAATGTAAAGGAAACAGTGATCCTGCAAAAGCAGGTAACTCAACAAGGACTACTGCTAGACACGTTTCCCAGTGGATATAAAGCCATGTCTAACTCCTGCATCCACCTTTTGCTGCTGCAGGACCTCCCTGACAGCTGTTCTAAACGGTCTGGCTATAAAGCTTTCTTGACATTTTACACAAGTAATGGGTCTTCACAGAAAACAGGAGTAATGGGTTGATACATAATCTCAAGCTTGTGGACTCAATCACTGGGGACCAGCTGGGGCTTCCGTCACTCCAAGTACTGAGACTTTAAGAGGATTCTACTAAACACGACAAAGCTAAAGAGTGGGGAAGAAACAGGGTTTTCCCTTCCTTTTGTTTGGAGCTGATCACTTCAGTGACAACATACCTTCTTTGCGCTAGAAGGTAAGGAAATAGAGACTTCTTCCTCTTGATGATGTGCGCAGTTCAGTCTGGGCTGAGATTCTGTTTCTTGTCCAGTCTGGAGTCCCTCTGGCTGTGAGTGTCCCTAGAGCCAATGTTTTCTTCCAGCATCTCATAATCATCCTCTCTTTTCTTCTGCAGGACCCAGTTCCTTATATACAATATGACACAGAGGTCTTTCCTCTTCCTTTCTGCCTTCTGCCCTCCCTGCAGGAATGATAGGCAGTTCCATTCCCCACAAGAAAAGGGGGTTTGCACTTTTTCTGTAAATCAAGCAGCAGGATGTAATTGCATCTTCAGAGGAAGGCAATGTTGTAACACCCTCCTAGATGGCTCTTGCTCCTTTCACTGAAGCAGTTGAAAGGAGTGGATTATTCGTTGGGCTGATTTGTACCCAAAATAGCAACGATTTAATTAAAAAAGTGCGTTGCTGCTCTTCTTAAAGATCTGTGGGTCTTTAAGTAAGTTTAAACCAAACTCACGCTTAAAGGCAAAACAAAACAGATATAAAAACTTTAAACCCATCTGTAGAACTGTGTGTGGAGTTTTCACCAGTCCAGATAAATCCATTATTTCTTACAGATTCAGTTGAAATCACTGTACAGCAGTGGCTTGGACTGAGATTATTCAGGCCAAATTTATTTTTGTTATTATTGTTACATTAATTCCTGGCTACTTCCACTGAAATAATTAAAGAGATCTGTAGGCTTATGTAAGCAGAAAAGAGAGGCAAAGTCAAGATTTTTGATCGCTAAAATAGAGGTGCTTTCCATTAACCCAGCTTGGCAGAAACATGTAAATGTGGTGCTTTAAGATTTTTCCCAGGACATAGTTTAGAGAAAGTCTACCTTTCAAAATATTCTTCTATAATATTTTATCTATATGTCATTTTGGGACAAAGCTACCCCATGCATGAATACAGTCTAATTGTGTTGGGAGCAGCTCTGCAGAAATGAACCTGGGCTTCCAGTGGACAGCAAGATGAACGTAAGCCAGGAACAGGCAACAAAGACCAGCCACATACTGGGCTGCAATAGCAAGAATGTGGCCAGCAGGTGAAGGGAAGTGATTATTCCCCTTTATCTGTCACACATGAGGTCACATCTGGAACACTCTGTCCACTGTTGCAGTCACCCATACAAGAGATGACAAGCTCAAGGGGAGCACATGGTGACCAAGAGGCTGAGGGAGTTTGTTCAGCCGGGTAAAGAGGAGGCCAAAGGGGGATCTAACTGATTACTTTAGCTAGCTACTGGGGGGCTATAGAGACAACAGAGACAGAGTCCTCTCAGAGGGGCACAGTGAAATAGTCACAACATTTGCATAAAAGAAAATTCTGATTGGCCATAAACAAAAAACCACTTCTTCTCACAAGGGTGGTTCAGCACTGGAACAGGTGTCTTGAGAGGCTGGGAGGTCTTTCTCCTTGAAGGTGTTCACATGTTTTTCTGGACAAGGCCATGAGCATCCTGATCTAGCTCTGAAGCTAGCTGTGCTGGGAGAAGGGTGTTGGACTAAAGACCTCCATAGATCTCCTCCCATGTAAACACTTCTTTGAGTCTATGATTCTGTTCAGCCTTGGTCAGACGTCCAGTACAGACAGGAGCAGAACTGTGTGCACCTGAGAAGCTTTGCTGTCATGAACAGAAATACTTATGAAGTTTTGGCTCCTCCAAGGACGCTAATTGCGATTCTGGAGTGTCACAATTTTAAAATTAGGCAGAACTTAAATGCCAAAGTTGTATTTAAGTATTTTTACTCTTTTTTAAACCTGTTATATAACTTCTTGGAATTAGAGCTACGACAGTGGAGTCCTCTTTAGTCTCTCAATTCACTTCCTTAACTTTTAACTTCTGAAAATTTTTTTGATTTCAACTTTTTTCACCACAGTTTTTTTGTTTAAGATTCTGCAAAAATTCAGGGCACAGAATGTCCTTAAAGCATTTACAAAACTGAATTTGGCTGGAGTTTCTGGATACTGTTGTATAATAATAAGTAAAACAAAAACCCTGAAGCCTCTCTCTGTGGCACGTTGTCTCTGCAGCTGTAACAGGAGTAAAATCAAGGAGATGGTTATTTTATAATTCCACCTAGCAAACTGGGTGGATTGTAAGTGGAAGTAAATCTTTACAGTGAAGAGCCTATTTTAGTCAAAGGCTTTGCAGAGTAAGATTGCTCTGTCTAGCAAATTCTGTGAGAATATCAGAACATCAGCTGATTAACTTATGTGTAGTTTCTCTTTGTGTTATAAAATAGAATTCAGGGGCTTCAGTGCCCTTTCTTACTTTAATTTATATTTATCCTCTTCTTTAACCTGAACTGCAGGAGAAAATCTACCTCAGTAACAATGCAAAAATAATTACAAGGAGCTATTTTAAGAAGTGTGTTCTAACTTTCTCGTCTTCAGATGGTCCTTTTCTGCTGCTGGACTGGAGATGAACCTAGGTGAGTCAGCACGTACTCAGTAACCAATACCACACAGTCAGCAGCAATATGCCTTTTTTTTTTTACCATAGTGCCCAGCCTTACACTGGAGTAAGTAAGGCAAACTATTGTTTCAGTTCTTGTGTGTGTAGATAAGCTGTCATTTATTAACATGCAACTTACTGCTCCCCCGCAACGTTTCAACACACACCTACACATTACCTCCAAAACATGGTTCTCCAAACAGAAGAGCATTAGCTGGGGTGAGGTATGCATCCCAGTGCCAGAACATACAGCAACAAGACAAACAACGAGCCAGAGAGGATAAGAATATGCATGTCAAAGCGACTCCATACTTCCTCCTCTAGCCCACACCTTGCAGGTTCCCAGCATTTCATTGCATCAGCTTACAGCCAAATTCATAATAGATTAATAAAAGCTGCAT